TGAAGGAAAGCGCTGTTAACCCTGCGCTCCTCCTCCTTTCACATGGAAATGAAATGAGGAGCCCCCTCTGATAAACTGCAGCAGGAACACACGGAGTTTCCAATCAGCTCGACTCGGATGCTGGAATGACATCCCGTTTTTCCTGAATGGAAACAATGGAGAGATTTTCTGCAGTTTAGCTCTGCTTGTTGCAGTTCGGCTTCATATTTCCTGCAGCGTTAACGCGGCTCAGGCTAAAACAGGTGTATTCCGCAGAGCTTTGCTGTTGGACAAAGGATTAAAAAGTTAAACCACAAAACAAATGAACAGAAAGTCAGGAACAGACGACTAAATGGTGATAAGTTGGAAAAGCAAAGAACAGAGGAAAAGTCCTTTCTGTCGTCTTTCTGGTGTGTTTTGTTGGAGATAAGCCCAAAGGTTGGGCTGCGGAGATATGAGCAGATGTTAAAGAACCGATCAGTATCTGTCAAAGATCCACTCCTGGTTTTAGCTCAGAGACTTGGGCAGGTGATACAGCCGAGCCGTTATCTAGAAACGAACGTGATCCAAGAAGGAGGTCAGAGGGAAACGTTCCTGTCGGACTTCTAACCTCGCTTCTTCAGTCCTTTGATGACATTAATCTGCAGAAACTTTAGCAGGAGGCTCTAAATTCTATACCACTTCTGTTTGTGGAATGATTGCTTGAAGTGATCAATAAATACAAAAACACCACAAAAAGACTCTGATCTGATCTCACATTCTAACACCTGGTCTGCAGCCCTGACTCGTCCATGACTCCTCTTTCAATCTTCCCTTACTCCTCTCTGATTTCACTCTGGCTTCTCGTTTTCATGTCCCTGTTGCTTCTGTTACTGGTCTAAAATCATAAGTAAGTCAGATTGTAATTATAATTTACCTTTTAACTGAAAAAATCAGTCTTTTACGAGACATAAACCACAAAAAAATAACAACAACACAGTTCAAAGCATCTCTGTACAAACAGGTATTCCCTGATTCCTTTCTGTTTAATCCTTGACTCATCTCGGACTCCTCTCCAACTTTTCTCTGACTTGTCTCTTACTCTTCCCTGACTCCTCTCTAACTCCTCTCTGACTCTTCCATGGGTCTTCCTGAATCTGTCCTGACTTGTCTTTGACTCCTCCTTGACTCTCCCCTGACTTGTTAGTGACTCGTCTCTGACTCCTCCTTGACTCTTCCCTGACTTGTTAGTGATTTGTCTCTGACTCCTTTTTGACTCCTCTCTGACTCTTCCTTGACTCCTCCCTGAATCTCCCCTGACTCCTCCCTGACTCCTCCCTGCCTCACCTGCCTGCCGGATGATCAATGAGACGTTTTTATGAAACAAATCCATTTGTCTTTTATTGAAGTGTTGAAGGTTTCTAGGAAACTTCTGGTTCCTCAATGACTTCAGCCACTGAGAAAAGGTGCAGTGCCCCCCTCCACCTCTAGAGGAGCTCTAGTTTATTGGCATCTGGTTCCTGAGGGATTCAGGTGTAGAGCTTTAAATGAATCATGGTTACCTCTGAACCAATGAGGCTTTTATCCCAGTCTGTAGGGAAGAAGGAAATGAGATTGATTTTGATTCTTGTCAGGACCCTCGTTAGGACCCACTGATGAACAACAGGACAAAACTCCAACAGGTGGCTGAATGGAGCGCCCTCTGTGGTGGGGGGGGGGGACTCTCAGATCCTGGTACAGAGTCAGAACTATAGAATGGGAATATGTAACCAGGAAGTGATGGAGAGTCTTTCTCTCCGTTCCTTTTTTGGCTTCTCCTCAGGCGTCATGCCTTCAGCTCAGCGTGGTTCCCGATGACTCCAGGCCTGTTATCAGAACTGAAACCCTAAACTCAGCTTCCTGTGGCTCTTCTTCTGTGTCTGAATGTTAATTTTACTCATTTCCTGTCCTTTTTTCTTTGACTTCCTTCTTCCTCTCAGCGTTTCTTTTCTCTTTCTCTGGTTAATGTTTACATCTTTCTAACCGGTTCTTTTCTTCTCGACTATTTCTCTCCCTGTCTTCCTCTACAAGCTGCCAGCTCCAGTACTTCCACCACTGCTGGGGGTGTGGGGGCCCCATGGGGCCAGCCTCAGGGGGCCCCTGGCTCCCCCAGCCCCGGCCCTGCTTCTCATAACATCCCCTCAGTCAACGAAGGTACAGACTGATCAGATGGCGACGCTCAGGGAAAGTTTGCAGCCGGTCTGCAGAGAGCTGCTGCTTTCCAGACCTCCATTCCTTTCCTCCCATTTCCTTTCCTCTTTCACCTCCTCGCTTCTGTCTCTGTCCTTCGTCCTCATCAGTCCTCGCCTCGTCTCTGCTCCTGTGTGTCAGCCCCCGTTCCAATCTGGCCACTTTGTTTCTCCTTCCTTGCATCAGTGTTTGTTTTCACCTCAGGTCTTTAGCTCCAGTCTTTGCCGACTGCGTCCTTGTTTTTGAGACAAAGCCTGTTCTTCTGTCTCCGTTTGTCTCAGTTCACTGTCAAATCAAATATTGTTTCAATCTAAAGGCAGCAAAACCCTTTTTGGAAAGTAGCAGCGAATGTTTGAACCTGACTGAATCAGGCCTCCTCAGGTTTCTGGGGTATTTGGAAACACGGCATTGTGCAGAATTCCTGATTCCGTCAGCACTTTGTGTCCCTGGGAGCGATAGAAAGTGATAAACAAGTCGAACATTGATCTACTCTAAAGCTTCTCCAGCAGGTTAAAAGGATTCATTCCAGATGTTCCTCCTGCTGCATCAAACAGAAGGTTTCTCCTTCATTTAGAATCAACACCTAAAGTAATATTTCAGCCAGAGATGCAGCGATCCATTTTTTTCCCGATCCAGTCAGAAAACGATACCTGGTCTGGGCGTTTCCGCCGATATCCGATACCGATCCGATTCACCTGTTAAAGGAAAAGTCCGGTCAGAAAGGAATAATCAATGGATCATTATTTATACCTAGAAATAATACTTTGCGAGTACGAGTACGGACTCGTGTTCTCGCCGAGTCAGTTCTTGACTAGAACCCAGTAAAGTCTGGACTCGGGGAGAACGGGAGCAGAATAAATCTGGGTCAACTGGAACTGAGCGTTCTGATGACATCACCACATTCAAAGCTGGTCTGGAGCTGCATTTCACCTCCTGTTATTAATAGTCTCTAGAATCTAGAGTAAAAAAGTCAGAATTTATTATTATCTAGAGTCTAGATAATAATAAATTCTGACTTTTTTAATTTATTGGGGAAATAATAATAAACAGTCAGATAAACGGGTTAGGGTCTCGCCTCAAATGATCTTAAAAAATACTTTTATTGAGCAACAGCAACAGAAAAGAGAAAATTTAACTTTCAATGGAGCGCTCCATTGACGACGTCCTGAATCGAGGTCAGCAGTACACCCCCCCCCCCACTATAAACAGGTTGGTACTGCACCGCTTCCCCCTCCTGATACGCCGGATCGTGGACCAGAATTGCTTCGAAGTCATATGGCTTCGAAGGAGGACTTTCTCACTTCAAAATAGATTCAAACTACTTTTTACAGCAAATATAGCTGCCATTGTTTCAGGCAGAGAAAGGATAGAGTAGCTCCGCCCACCGCAGATCAGACCCACTTTACAACCGTGCAGCTAGAGCAGCAAAGATGCTTCATCCGTGCGTCAGAACTAAACTGGTACAAACATCAAAAATTACGCAGCACGCGGTTTTTTGCTGCTTCTGCTGCCTGCGGTCTGAACGTCACTGGTACCTTGGACAGCTCCACCCAAAGCTCAGGCTTTGTGCTGTTTGGAGAAGGAAATCTGCACATTATGCCAGATTTTCAGTCTTGTTTTAGTGACTCTTAAGTTCTGAGGTGTGTTTGGTCACATGAAACACCCTGAACTAGGATATCCTAAAAAAAGAACCAAGTTCTGACTCAGTTGGAAATCTGTTTTAGAAAAATGCGCTGCTGGGACCCGAGTCACCAGCAGGGATTACTCTGCTGATGAGAAGTGGAATAAATGAGCAATCTGTAGCTGCAACAAATCACTCAACGTTTCAGATTCTTCATTTGACCCCAAACGGTAAAATCTAAGGGATTATTTAAAATAATCTTGGTCTCAAAATGGGTAAAATCTACGACGGAGTATTAGGGCCACACATGAAGAGAAAAAATATTTTTGCCATGACGAGATTAAACTTGACATGTCGACTTTAAAGTCGACATGTCAAGTTTAAACTCGCCATTTCGAGAATAAAGTTGATATATCGTGGCGACTTTAACCTCGACATTCCAAAGTTTGGAGAAAAGAGCAACCGCGCTCCACAGCTGCAGTCTGCGTTTTAAGAGTGAAGGTAGTCTTTGACGTGCTGCAACTGTATAACTGTATAATCATCACAGAAAGTACAATTTGACCAAATCATCTACACAAGGCATGTCTGATTCTGGATTCTGTGCATGTATCCTGTGCAGCGGTTGGCTCTCTTGAACTAATTTCAACTTTATTGTCGACACGTCGAGATTAAACTCAACATGACATTTCAACTTTATTCTCGAAATGTTGAGTTTAATGTCGACGTGTCGACTTTTAAAGTTGACATGTCGAGTTTAATCTCGTCATGGCAAAAATATTTTTTCTCTTCATGTGTGGCCCTAATACTCCGTCGTAAAAATCTGATTATTCATCTAAGAATTCAGACAAAACCTTCTGAGCATAACGACCTGGAAGTTGATATCCTCCAAATGTTTTACTAATCTGCTGCGTGGGTAGAAAAATCGTTTAGTTTTACATGAAAAGGTCATCAAAACCAATTAAATGGATGTTTTGCTAAACAGTGAAAACTAAGGTTTTACGTTTGCATCGTGCAAAGAATAGAACTGTTGATAAAGAGCACTTTAAAATTATCCAGTCTTCCTCCTCAAAGGTTAAAAAAAAGATTCACTCAAAATTTTTTGGACAATTGTAGAAATAAAATGCAGATTAAAAAAAGAACCTAAGAATGTGATTTTTATTCCAGTCTAAGTTTAAATAAATTGTTTGTCAATAGAAAGAGCCGTGACTGAAGGGTTTGAAAGTGAACTGAGCCAGCTGTGTGTGATACGTCGTTGTGTTCGTTGGTCTCTGCTTTGCAGTGTTGTGAACTCCTTCCTTGTTTTTCTTTTAGTCCCGATGTTTCAGTCACTCTGTTGTTTGCATGCTTGCTGTTTCAGTCATGTAGAAGAGGGGAATGGGTGTAAAACTCGAACACCATGCAGGCCAGAGGGGCCTGCATTTCCACCAGCACTTCATCTGAGACTGCGTTTGGTTTGAAGCTGGCGAAAGGTCGAACCGTAACTGATGCTTTATCTAATTTTTCAGGTTTGACTCAAAATGAGCTTTGTTGCTACTCTGACCTCCAGTGAAGATCGTTTTCTTCCCAGTGATCCTACAGCATGCTGGTTTCTATCAGTAAAACCTCACAGAGCCTCGTATTTGGACACTCTTTCATATTTATGGAAGGCTTGGGTTTTTATTTATCATATTATACTTTAATGAGCAGCTAACTGAGCTGGTTGAATATTTATTAATGATGGGAACAGCAAGCATGCACACAGCTGTTTATGGCCTGTAGCCAGAATTATTTTTCTCAGGTTATTAGCATCAACTAAAAATTTAAAAGAGGAGAAAAGAGTCGCTGTCCTGCAGAACCCAAAGCCGACCTTTTATAGATCTGATGGATGAGGAAAAATGTTTGACTTCAAATGAAAAAAGTTAAGTGTTAGAAATACAAATCAGACTTTATCAAAACTTTCTAGATTTTTCTAGAGTTTTTAGATTTTCTTTACTGCTCATAACTTACTCATTTTCTGTCCAATTTATAAAAGATCACATAGATAAAAGATTAGGAAATATCCAACTAATATGAAAATGTTCATGAAGTTTAGGTTCGGGGTTAGGCTTAGGTCCTCAATGCTGGGAGCAAATGTTTAACTCTGAAAACCAAAATCTGATTTATGGAGGATTCTTCCTGCCAGAAACCAAGAGCACACATTTTCTATCTGAGAGCAGATTTCCTCTACTATCAGTAAGCAGTAACATGCAAACTCAGTAGTAGAAAACAAGCACACCTTTTATGGGGTGTTCTATTGGGTGAAACGGTTGCTAGGCGACCATCCAACTCCAGTCTGAGAGAAACTGTGGCGCCGCCAGGGGTAGCCACCCTGTGCAATGCCCTGGCTACCTCACTGGCCGCCTCACTGGCCGACCCCGGCCAGTGTAAATTGTAGCAGCATCAGTTTAGCATTTCCTCCCATTCTGCACTAACCTGACTCTGCCAGATGGATTTG